CTTCTCACCTGTTAGCAGTGAAATCCCATCCAGTTAATTAACCTGCTCAGAGATAAAGTTTATTCTGCCATTCACCTTCAGCTCCAAATCTTTAAAACCATTAAAACAAGTACCTGGTCAATGAATAAATCTTCTCCCAGAGTAGTTCAGCGCCTTCTGTAATCTGGTTTCAGCCTACCTTTCTGACATCACTTCCAGCTACTTACCTTCAAGCACCTTCCACTCCAGACAAATGGAAGAACTAAAGTATTCAGCATTCCCATTGCCAGAAATATACTTCCCTCCTCTGAATGCTACATATTAACTCAGTTCAAATGTCACTTTTTTAAATTTTATTTTATTTATTTTATTTTTTGGCTGTCTTGCGTCTTTGCTGCTGCACGCAGGCTTTCTCTAGTTGCGGTGAGCGGGGGCTACTCTTCGTTGCACTGCAACGCGGGCTTCTCATTGTGGTGGCTTCTCTTGTTGTGGAGCACCGGCTCTAGGCGCAAGGGCTTCAGTAGTTGTGGCGCACAGGCTCAGTAGTTGTGGCTCGCGGGCTCTAGAGCGCAGGCTCAGTAGTTTTGGAGGACGGGCTTAGTTGCTCTGCGGCATGTGGGATCTTCCCGGACCAGGGATCAAACCCATGTCCCCTGCATTGGCTGGCAGGCAGACTCTTAAACACTGCGCCACCCGGGAAGTCCCAAATGTCACTTCTTAAAAAAGGCTTTCCTGGAGCTCTGGCATCTCCACCTCCTCCCACATTTCCTAATTGCTGCCAAGGTGTAAGCATTAATTACCTCCTTATTCTAAACACTCCAAAACTTTTACTACCTTTGTAGCATTTATTGTTTTATAACTTATGTTATGATTGTGTACATATTTATAGTACTAGATCCTACAGGATGCAATTCCAACCAATTCGTTTTTGTGTTCCCCACATCTTCCAATACAGCTCCTTGCCTATGATTGGGGTTTAATAACTATTTTTTGAATGCTTAAATGGAGACCCAGTGATCTCTGACTTTTATTCTTGGGGGCTCCCAACAACTGTTTTATCGTCAGGATAAGAAGAATCCAACTCAGTGAGGCACTTTTCAAGATTTACATTATATTCAAAACAGAAATTTCAAGCTTTCCAGGTTTTTTGAAGACAGTCCTGTTGTTGCTTCCCATCCTTAGCAACTTTCTATTTCTAGAAATCTTTTTGCTCTCAGTGGAAGGGTTGGAAAAAAATAGTCTTCTTATGGATATCACCCCTTTCAGTGACTCTGAATACAAGCTTCATATGGCTTTTCTATCTCCTGCCCCAATTTACTTGCATGACACACTTGGAACTAGTATTTTATTGACATAAAACCCTGAAACTCAATGTTAGGTAAAGCAGATATTCAGTCATGTATGAGAGCATTCACATGTGTGTGTCTAAGATGAAGAGGAGAAATACAGTAGCTTCATTGAAATAAAAAGGCCATTCATTCATTCAGTGCTCATTTTCTTGATCATCCACCAGACTTTAGGCGCTATATTATGTGCTGATGATTCAAACATAAATACTGATTCTTGCCTTCAAGGAGCTCTGAGTCATGTGAAGGGAGATGAATATATAATGAGATCATTATTATAGAGTGTAATTCACACAATTCCCTCAGCAAGCACAGGGTAATGTTGAGCACGGAGAATTTTCTTTGAGAGCAGATGGACTATTTTTAAGCAAAGAAAAATGTTTTGCAGCACAGTGGTCATACTCATATCAATAAAATACATATTATTTTGTAGTTATTAACAGCATCACCATCCTTTTCCAACCACTCACCTTGGGGCAGGTGTCAGCATCCATGGTGGGTGCTGAGGCATGATTCAAACAAGCAACCACCTTGGGTTAACCAAGACCCACACTTAAATCCTTACTCCTTAGATCTTGTAGGAATGAATCATTGAAGGAGATGGCAGCAAAGGGGTAGTGTCTTATGATTCATAGGGCTGAATTTCATGCCAATGATATTTTGGAGCAGAGATTTTTGCATGCTACTCTGTCTATGGCTCCAACATTTTTAAAGGAGTGTAGATGACTCATTGGGATAGCTTATCCAAGTCTATGACCTTGGAGGTGTGTGTGTGTGGGGGGGGTGTTGGGGGAGCATTTATGAGGAAAGGCAAGAAAGAAATCCTAAGTTTTAAATGACCAGTCTACAGCTGGTCTACAGCTGCAAGTACTGAGTATTTGTACAGACCACTTTAAATTTTCTTTTTCTTCACATTTAGGGACACTTTTCTATTCACTAGCAGCTCACTGAGAAGGATGGAGTAGGATGACATGAGTCAGAAGTAGAAATAATAGAGGAAATTAACATTCATTTCAAATTACCTCTTATCAGTGGCTCAGTGAAAGTCTCAAAGAGAGGGGAGGTTGGAGATATTGGTTAAGATGAGCCTGTAATATTGCTCTGGATTCTTATGACTACAACTGAAAGAGGTATATGGTTTGGAGTAATGATGAGTTTGGTGATGGTGATCATAATCCATTCAAAAAATATGTATTAAGCACCTGCCACATGCTATCTCTGACCTAGGCACATAAGATTTAAATAGACCAAAAACAAAAAAAAAAAATTCCTGTCCTTTGGAGCTTAAATTCTAGAAGAAACTGGCAAAAATGTGTTAGCATCCCTCTCCCTGTTAGAAATATTTTCTTCTCATGAGTTCCTAGTCATGAGGGACTTAGTCTCCATCAAGTTCCAGCATCAGTGCAAGAGTCACAAAAATGTATCTCTTTCAAAGCTCGCAGACTGATATCTGCTTAAAATGTTTCTATGAGCAGGGAAACAGACTCTGGTTGAGACGTAGACGTCTCTGTGTATGTGCGTTGAGGGGGGCCGTGGAAGTGTACAGAGGGAAGAAATTCTACAACGGTCCCGTCCACACGGAGACTCTCCAGCGGGGGGAAATGCACGAGTTCGTACACGAACGCTCCTCTCTACCCCGCTTGCCTTTCTCGCTCTTTCACCACTTTGCTCCCTCCTCCCTTCCTTCCTAAATCCCTCCTTCTCCTTGCTTCCCTCTCGCTTGGTCCCTCCCCATCTCCTTGCCTCGAACAGTTTTTCCCTCCTCCTCTATCGCCCTCTCCCTCTCGCCTCT